CAGCCCTGCCTTCAAACCCATCTCATAGGAAGAGCCTAGAAAGAGGGACCTGTCCCCCAGAACGGATCGCTTCCGAATGATAGGAGAAACACTGGTGAAATAAAACCATCACTTCCAGGAATTAAGTGGAGGAAGCCAAAGGAACAGATTAAACTAGTGAAAGGCTTTAATTGCAGAACATTCGAAAAGAAGTCAAGTCCGTGATGTTTCAGCCCATAGACGTGTGTTACAAAGATCCTGAGCCACGGGTCCACTTTGAAGGTAACTTTGAAAACTGCCACTTACAGAATGTCTAACTTATCCAAATGTTACAGTCGAGGTACATTCCTAAGTGCTCGTGTGTTTAATGGGAAACTGAAATCTTTGTTGGTAAGAGGAGTCTTTGAAAATTATGTGCCGTTTTTCAGCTGTTTTGAAGTTTCAGTGGAAATGAGGCAGACCCTCCACTGGCTAGAATGACACCGTGGCTACAACACAGGAACGGACAGGGTTTCTCCCGTGGTGCACAGGGTCCTGATGCGGCCAAACAGACTGGATGGCCCCTAACAACAACAACAGTTAACAGAGGAACAATCTGCAGAAGAAACGAACGGTTGCTTAACATCGACCGTTTGCAGTAGAGACTCACATTGTGCGAGCCACCGAAGAGCACATTACTGAGCAGGATTTCCCTTTACACGTTCCCCATCGTATACTGATTTTGAAGAACGCACATAAATGATGATATTAAATGTCATTCTACTGATAGGTTGTGCCCGCTCCCTACTTCCCTATCTTCACCCATCCACATATGTTTATCCTCTGCCGATCACTTCTGCGGCCTCCAGATGGACTGTACCAGAAAGCGTTGTGCGCTGAGCTTCCCAGCATGCACACGTGGGTAGCTGCTACTCCTGTTTCCACTTGACAAGTGCAGAAGTGGAGATCGAGTGAAGGTCTCTCACACCCTAACCTTGGACTGCTAACTGCCAGGTCAGCAGTAGGAAGCCCCCCGCAGCTCCATGGGAGAAAGACAGGCTTCCTGCTCCTCCAGAGACCGCAGTGGATTAAGCAAGTTGGCTCCAGGTCAGCAAAACCAATTCTTAATTTTTCATTGACTTTGGCAAACTGGATGGTACTTGTAATCAGGGTTCTCTCTCAGGTGGGTGGCTGGGCAGCCACACATGTGGAAATCACAAATTTCCATTCCTTATTCTTTTTAAATGTTCATCTGCACAATAGCATGTTCTAAGCGCCCGCAGTACAGTTCATTCCACCCATAGGTATAAAGCATTATACAGAACTATATTTATAATATTTATTCATTTCCTAAAACTTGTTATACTTTTGATGAAATAGTGAAATTTTACCCCCATGTGTTTTTTACTTCAGTAAACAAAGACCCAAAGTGCAAACAACCAGAGGGTGACCCACGTTCATTCCTTTCAGCTTTAGTTATGCCCCCAATTCCCACAAGCTATGGTGAATGAAGTATGCAATTCCTGAAAGTGTTCAAAGACCTAAAAATATTACCATAACAATTGCTGTAAGTTCAGCAGAAATTGAAAGGGGTTTTTCAAAGATGAACATAATATGTCCATGGAAGGGCAGTCGCCTGTTTCTAACAGATCAAATACAATGACTATTGTCTAATTGGCCTACCTCTAAAGCAGTGGTTCTCAGCCTTCCTAATGCCACAACCCTTTAATACAGTTCCTCATGTTGTGGTGACCCTCCAACCATAACATTATCTTTGTTGCTACTTCATCACTGTCATTTTGCTCCTGTTATGAATTGGGTGAGCCCTGTGGGTCGTTCGACCCCCAAAAGGGTCACGACCCACAGGTTGAGAACCACTGCAGTCTAAAGGAATGGGCTCCTACTCCTACAGTGAAAAGATGATTAAGGATAAATCACACAGCTGATGATGCTTAGAATATTGCAAGTGAAGATGCCAATCAAGAAGCAATATAGAAGTATCTTAACAGTTTTATTGTTTTTTGGTCAGATATTATTGAATATTTCTGATTAATATATTAGAACTTTCTTATAATCTCATTTGTGTGTCTCGTTTGCTGTTCTTTTTTTCTTTTATTGTTCTTATTTAAGTAGTAACTGTATGAAATAATAAATGACCTTTCAGTATATTGTTTTTCTTTTGACCTCAACCCATATCTTCTAGCTAAGTGAAAAGAGAATGAGATTATAA